GTGGGTGGTGCACCCCCAGAATACCTGTCTCTGAGGAGCGGCTGTATCTTCACAGCTTTTGGAAAGATTGTATTCCCAAGAGATGTACACTTCAGGGCCTGGGACTTTCTTTGCTTAAGACGGATAGTTGCTTCCAACAGAATCAAATGGAACAAAACACAAAGAAGCGCTTTTAGGGTAATTAAAACTATTTTGGATTTTTTTTTAATTTTTATTTATCAATCTGGTTTCTAATATAGTTTTAGTTCAATGAAAGAACATTCACAAAGAATATTAGGCATACATACATGATTTCCTTCTTTCATTCTAATTTACATGCTGATGCTTTTAGAGAGTGACATTTCGTGTTACTTCACAGAGGTGGGACCCTCATCGACTTTACAGAAAGAATATGTAGGCCGACTTTTCACAACGCTAACCTCCGTAGTCACCGTGCTCAGTGAAAACAAACAAACAAAACAAAACGGAGAATCCCATGAAACAAAACTGAAGAGTGATGCTGAGAACCCGTGTCTAGCACCTCAGAGTCCAGCACGGACTAGAAACAAGCCGAGGCGTGGAAATAAACGGTGCAGACCGTCTAAGCAGACCTGTTCTTAAAGAGCATTTTCACCTGGACAACCAGCTAGTGAACGCATGGGAGTCATGAATCCCTGCGCGCCCCTCGGGCTTGGTGACCTCCCGCCAGTCTTTGCTCAGTGGGGGTTCACCAGCGTTTCCACACGGCTTCCCTGTTTCATCGACGACCAGTTTTACATCCCACGTGTATCCAGAAAATACTGCCGGGAAAGGAACATGACGATCCCAACGCTGTCACGCGGAGGCCCTGCATAAAGTCACATTCGTGTTCATGTCGGCGTATTTATAAACCAGGCCGATCGCACCGGCCCGGGGTGAGCTACCAGGCGCATGCAGTGGGAAATTAGGGCTTTGTGCCCCTGAAGTCCCGGTTTCTCAGGCCCTGGGCTGTTGCCTCTCACAGTGTTGACAGGTTAGCTTCCTGCAGTCTGCCTGGTGCATTAGCAGTTGTACACGCCGCCCGTGTGTCCCCACCTTCCTGGACATGGCCTTGGTGTGCCTCTTGATGTGATCTCTGACCACAAGGCAGAAAGCATGTCTTGCACGAGGCTCTGTTGACCCTGGCCTTTATGTCTGGGTTTCAAAGTATACTACTGTCGGGAATCCGTGCTCCGCCGTTGTCTGATTAAGTCAGTAAAATGGCTCCAACTTAAATATAAATATAGGCAAAGGAGGACAGAGGTTCAGCCACTTGGCAGAGGTCACAGAGGGAGGCTGGGAGAGGAAGAAGGGGTTGGGACTCTGTCAGCTGACTCCCAGGGTCCTCCCTCCTGAAATGTGACCGAAAACAGGGGGCCCACTGATGTTCAGCCCAAAGGGACACGCTGTTTCCCTTTCTCATGGATTTCAGGATCAGCTGGTTCTACTGGGATAGGGGTTTCTGACTTGCATTTGGCTGGCCGACTGGAATTCAGATGAATTTGATTTGATGACCTTCTGCCTTTCTTTTTGAAAGCCGCCTGCTAGGTCGATGATAAAGGACAGCATAGGAAGAGGTTCGGATGAAGGGCTAATCGTGTGGAGGTGTGAGAGGAAAGGGACCATGGACCATTCACACCGTAGGAACAGGAAGCCAGCTTCCTCTGGGCCTTGGCTGACATAGCCGGTACCTGCTGGCCCTTACCCTCAGTCGCTCTCTGGTGGCTCAACGGACATTCCACAGTAACAGGAAGATCTCCCCGGCTTCTGCTGATTCTTGTCCCCGTGCCCCCCCGAATTCCTGCCCCCGTTAGCAAAGGTGGCTTGCTTATCAAATGCAGAGCGACATTGTCCACCGAAGGCACTCCAAACTTTGGTTCCCAGCTCTTCTGTAAAAACGTCACGTAAGTCGCTTTTTTTTGGAGCAGTTGCTTGAAAGCCACGGGGGGAAATAGAGTCTTATAAAGAAGGGCCAGACAAAAGCTTAACTGTACAATGACTTCTCCCCTCTGGAGCTGGCTTCCTCAAGCTCTAGGGAATCTGTTCTTTCGAGAGCTCCGAAGGGCACTGACTTTCCATTCCGTCCAGGTCCCCGCGCCTGGCTTCTCTGCATGCAGGGCTTGCATCCACCCAGAAGACGTTTCCCACACGAACAACCCCAAACCAGGTGGGAGCTTTCCCTGCCACGGTGAACCAGCCGCGTGTTTCAAAAAACTGTTTTGTTTCGTCTGTTCTCATCACGTGAAGATGCACCACCGATGGCCTCGTGTGCTCGACAGACGGTGCATTGGTTCTGCGAAATAAGATTGACGACGGGAGATGAGGCACCGAACTCGGGCCCTGATGTCCTGCTATCCGGGCTGCGCGGTCCTAGACTTTCAAGGGAGGGAGCTGGATAAACGCTGGCTTCCTTTCTTCGGGTAAACAAATTATTTACCATTTAGGATGGACCGGGTAGAGCCTTCATAAATAGACTTGGGAATTATTGTGAAGATACCAGTTCCCAAAAGAAGCCACGATCTCCAGCATTCCTTTGGCACTTACTTAATACCTTATCCACCTTTTGTGTCCTATCTGCTGGCCGGATTGTAGCCCCTGGAAGGCACCGCGGTCCTACCTCTGTCTGTCCTAAACGTCCCAAATGACGGTGACACGGCAGAACCACTGATCCTGGTAGGCGGTCAGTGCCCGGGATTTGGAAATAGCGGGTGCTACTTTTAACATTTTGTAGCAGGAAAGCGGAAAGGAGAGAGAGAAGAGAAAGGGTGAGAACATTTTCGTATCAGGGGCTGTTTTGATTGTTTTCATTCCCTGACCATTTGGGGAAGAAAGGGGAAGGTGTTGAGACCCTGTGCAGAGAACAAAGCTATGAAGGGAATTGCAGTAAATAACCACTGTCCACCCTGCATTATTTGTACAAAGGTAATACCTGTAGGTTTTTAAAAATTGGAAACGTTTCTGTAAAATAACATCACAATTCTTCTTTTTCAATTTGACAAACTATAAAGGACCCCCAACGGCAGTCATCTTGGTTCAGCCACTAGCTTTTGTTTTCCGTGTCATTGGTTAGTGTTACAGTGCTCTGATATTTCGTTACATTAAATGCTTTTCATTTTCCCCGTGTTTTAGGGGAGAGTGATCAAGGCCCTTCTCAGTGAGGGGCGTTCATGACAGCGCCCGAGGTCGGCAACCAGAAAGGGGCACGGGGCTCTCCATGCGTCTGTGACCTTGACTCACGGTTGCGTCTCCTGTGGAACGTGGCATGTGTTTGTGCCACGTACCGCTGGCAGGTCCGGATGACATTTCCCGACTCAGGAAATCGAGGTCCTCCGATAACGCAGGCAGACCAAGTATGCTGAAAAGTACACACGTGCACCCCAGCAGACTGGAAGTTCCCCTTTTCGGAGGCAGGCTATCGGGCAGAGCGCCGACGCCTATTTAACCTCACCTTCCCTAACAGAACAAGGCAAAAGGTGAACCAGATGTTAGAGTCTAAAACAAATCTTTTACCTATTTATTGAGCATGAGAGCCTGGACTATAATGCTCATAAGTGGTAGTCATTCTAGAAATACCTTCCGTCAAACAAATGAAATTATTTTTTAGATGTTCCAATAGGAGCTTTGTCCCATTGGCTTACCCACGAAGTCTATTATTTTTAAATAAAGTCAGTGAGTTACTTGATGGTGGTATTTGTAGCTCTAAGTTGAGTTATAAGGGGGTGAAGTTTCCTGATTGAAGTGAGGTGTGAGTGACCGGACAAGTCCATTCTCTGAGTTGCAGCAATTGGTGACCAGGTTTGCGATGACCAGAGCTTCGGATGTATCTGCCAAAGAAGATCCCTGAAGCAAGGCATCGGGTCTGTTACAGACGGAGCAATACAGGGAGCAGGTAACGCAAAACATGGCAGTATCCTTCCATATGATTCCGGAGTGGTAGAAATGACGGTCGCCACCACAGCTTGGCCTTGCTGTGTCCATCCACTGTCTGCTCTTTGGTCACAGGGGCTTAAAAACTGAAGACTTTAAGCAGACCGAGAACCACCTAATTTATGCATTGCCCAGAAAGTGTCCATTGTCTTGCTATAGCTATGAAAGAGACAGAACTGATGAATCCTGACATGCGGCTCTGATTCCCCAAGGAGGCGCTCACACATCCACGTACCCCAAGACGTCGTAGGAAAAGCAGAAGGCCGTCTTTTGTAACAGTTGGTCACCAGTGGTGGGTACAGATACGGAACTGGTCTGAGGCTACAAACATAGAACAATATGATCTCACAGAATTCGATGAAAAAAATAAACACCGAAATCCCAACGTGAAACTATGGGCCCTGGTATTTACTGCGTCTCTCCGTTGTGTTGATTGTGTTGTTACCTCCCAGGAGCTACACACCTTCTTCCCTGGACTGCTTCTGGCGGGAACTCTCGGAAAACTGGCACAGGTGGCGATGTCTTGGAAAACTGGCAAATAACAGGCTCTCTCTACCCCTTTCTCTCCTCTGATTTACAGGGCACCGAAAGAAACACACAAACACGAACTAGTAGCTGCAGTAGCCCAGTAAAAGTTGACTATATGCGAAAGGAAGAAGATGTTGGAGGCCGCGTGTCTGAGCATCAGCTTTTCTCAAGAAAAAATACCCACGTTCTAAGGGCTCTTAAAAATGTAGAAAACTTGCCCTGTTACCACGGTTTTTCAGAACACCTCTGAACACACACAAAATAAGACAGATATTACCTACAAATCGCAACCATTGCTTAAACTCTAAAAGCATTTTTTTGTATTATTGTGTTTTGATACAGAAGGGAAAACTCAGCTACAAAGAAATATTAAAAAGTATTCGTATTATTTTTGTGTGTGTGGTGTGGCGATCCGTCTCAAGAATTTTCTGTGGCTTGCCTCCCCCAACTTGTGCTGAGAATTTAAAGGATGTGCTCACGAGGATGAAGCAGGGCTCTTTTGTCCCCTTCCCTTCCCCCACCCCGTCCCACCGCCAGACAGCCACCCCTCAAATGAGCCACTCCTTTTTGCTCTCGTCAATGGTCTCTGTGAAGTTGGGGTCGTGGTTCATGATGGCAGCATCCGCGCTCTCCGCCGACTCTGCCCCCTTCGCTTCGTTGGTGTGGTAGGTGCCCTTGTGACGGAACATGTACCGGATGAGGAAGACCAAGGTGCAGAGAATGGTGAAAATCACCACAGCAATGACCCCTGGGGAGACAGGACAAGAGCTCCTGGTTAAAGGATCTTCTGCATCCCACAGACACTCTTTCTCCGCTTCCCCAAGTTTCCCCGGCTGCTCCCTCTCCCATACGAACACTAGACTCCAGAAGCTAATGGCACCGAAAGGAGGATTAGACCAATTCACAGCCATACTTGGAGATTTCAACGTTCTTCTCTCGGTAACCCACAGAACGATTGGACAGAAAAGCAGTAAGAAGTTGGACCTAAAAACCACTACGAACAAACGTGACCTAAGAAATAATACTAATCCTACACATTTTTTTTTTTAAATTGAGGAGCAGGAAATCCTACTCAACTCATTTTATGAGGTCAGTATTATCCCAATACTAAAACCAGACAAACACATTATGAAAAAGAAAACTATTGAGCAATATTCTTTTGAAATAAAATTTTAACAAATCAAACCTAACAATATGTAAAATATATATTATGATAAAGTGGTGTTAATTCTAGAAATGTAAGATGGTTTAACATTAAAAAAATAAAGCAATGTAATTGACCACATTAGGCAAATAAAGGAGAAAAACCATATGATCACCTCAATAGATGCAGAAAAAATACATGACAAATTTCAACACCCATTCATCATAAAGCCTCTTAGGAAACTACCCATAGGCAGAAACTATCTCAGCCTGATAAAGGGGATCTATGAGAAACTTATAACTAATATCCTACTTAGTGAAAGATTAAACACATTACCCCTAAAATATGGAACAATGTAAGAATGTCAGCTCTTAACATTTTTATCCAGTTTTACTAGAAGTCCTAGCCAGTGCAATAAAACAAGAAAAAGAAATAAAAAGTGTGCAGATTGGGAGGAAGTAAAAAACTCTTTATTCTCAGATGACAATATGTCTATGTAGAAAATTCTGAGGAATATTAAAAAAAAGTTGCCAGAACAAACAGTAAATTTAGCAAGATCACAGGATACAACGTCAATACACCAAAAATAAGTTGTATTTTTATCTACTAGCACGAAGCACTTGGAAAGTAAAAGTGATAAAATAATACCATTTATAATAGAAAAAATTGAATAAGGTTGTTCAAGACTGTGCATGGAAAACCATAAAATCTTGCTGAGAAAAATATAAGAAGATCTACACAAATGGATGGATATACCATGTTTAGGATCAATACTGTCAAGATGTTCATTTGTAGTTCTAATGCAAACCCAATGAAAATCACAGCAAACTTTTAAAATTTTTGTAGAAATCAAGAAGCTGATTACAAATTTTATATGGCAATGCCAAGGGCTCAGAATAACCAAAATAATTTTGGAAAAAGAAATAATTGGAGAACTTATACAGCTTATTTCAAGATTTACTATAAAGATACACCAATAAAATAAGCATGGTGTTGACTAAGGAAAGATATAGATACTCTGGCTTATTAGTTTTCTGAAAGTCGACTGGCATAGTCTTTCCCATTTTTTGTAGTAAGCTATCCTGGACCACTTGGGATGTGAGAGAGAGAGAGAAAACAAGGAGGGAATAAAGAAATGTCCTGGTTATTGCTTCAGCTGCCTACTTACATATTCGGATTCTGGCTAGCTTACCATTCTCATTCCTTTTTTTAAAAAAACAAGTCTGGCCCTGGCCGGTTTGGCTCAGCGGTTAGAGCATCGGCCTGCGGTCTGGAGAGACCCGGGTTTGGTTCCCGCTAAGGGCACGTACCTCGGTTGCAGTTTGTCCCCGGCCCTGGTTGGTCGTGCGGGTGGCAGCCACTTGATGTGCCCCTTTCACGTCGATGTTTCTCTCTCTCTCCCTCCCTCCCACTCTATCTGAACAAAATATCGAAAAATGTCCTCGGGTGAGGATAAAAAAAATAAATAAATAAAAAACAAGTCTGCATTAGAAAGTAGCCAGGTTACATTACCACCGTTTACCCACATCCCTACTCCATGATCTGAAGCCATATTTAAATAGCAAAATGAATAATACAAATCTAGACGATTCATTTCCCCCCACGACTATGATTTTAATTCCCCCCTCAGGTGAGCAGCCACAGAAAGCCTGTTCTGGACGTGACCTACCTCCAATGATGGCCGAGTTTCTGTTGACTCCATTCCTTATAGCTTGGCCTTGGCCAGGGTTATACGGAAAATCAGCACTGGCTGGAGAGAGAGAAGCGGAAAGTCAGGGAGGAGAGTGAGGTACACCTTTCATCCCAAGCAATGTGGTACCTGTCTTTTCATACAGCGCTTTGCTTGCTGTCTTCCCAAACGAGAGGTCCCGAGAGGTCCCTTTCAGACGGACCCGTCTTGCTGTGGTTCTCCACCCCTGCGGCTGCCAGTTGCAGGAGGCCCGGGGACACGCGCCCCGGCTCCTCTGCAGGAATATTAGAGCATCTCCACTTCCTGGACTGCCCGCTCCCGTCCCCCTGACCAGACAGGCTCAGGGGTTCCCGTACTTTTCCTCAAGCTTGGCGGAAACCTGCTTCTTGTCCGCTTTGATCCCACCCGCCACGGGTGGCGCTATTTATAGATGAGCTTTTCTATATTTACAGCACGCAACATTCTTAAAAAGTAACCACCCCTTGATATTTTTACATGGCTCTAGCAAAACATTGTACCCCTCCGGAGTATTTTATGAGGGGTAATGTTTTACGAGAGCTGAGAAGAATCTTAACTGCCTAGTGAATATTCTCTTTCTTTCCCTCCTATTTAAAAAAAAAAAAAGAATCAGTTGTAGTAAACTTAGATGTTTCTCTAAGATAAAGTAAATTTGAAGCATGCAAAGGGCTGAAGTCTGTCTACAGGTCGGGAGACTATCTATTGTCATCCATATAAGCTACTTTAACTTCAAAAACGACTTCTTATTTGTTGGATTCTGCTGGAGAAGTTACACTTTAGGGCATACACCCATAGCAGCTTCTCCAAAGGCAGACTACCTTCGTCCAACCAGAACCATGGCTACTGAAAGGCACCGAGTACATATACAAAGCTTTACAGTAGGTATTCGGCATAATGGAATGTGTACACACTGATGACATAGGTTTGTGCTATGATTGAGGGAGTAGCTTACTGAGGACTTGGATTTTCCAAGGCGAATTTATTCCTGGAGCTACAGACTTCCAAGGATCCCTGGCTAATGACCCAAAGTAGGTAAAGTCTTTTCTCCTTTTCCCTAGGAAATATTGTGCCCCAAGGGAGACTCCATATTCTACCAACCCATGCTTTTTCATTCTTCCTCTCTTAGACTTGATATTCTTCCTTAGGGCCAGGAAAATCATTCCTTCCTACATGTGTCATATTATAAATTAGCTCAAGCATCACTACCATTCAAACCTGCTCATGGGATTAAAACCACAGGCACTAAAATAGGTACAAAGGAAAGAGACCTTAACTTTGAGCCCCTAGACTTTTCATATTCCCCTGCGTCTTTAACTGGTGGATGTGGAAGAGAACTTGCAGTGTTATTTGCTTATTTTAACTGGTCCAGTCTTCAGTCTTGTCGGCTCGGTAGGGAACGGGGCAGAACCAATGTGAAGTACAATGGGGTTAGCTCACTGTCCCATGAGTTCACTTCCCCTTCCCCTTCAGGATTTCTTAGGGTAGACAGCATGGATTGATACTCAAAATTCCAAGTATCAGCCCAAGAATGCAATGATCTCGCATGTAATGGGCTGATCACCCATTAGACCAAGCATCCCGTGTGAATAAAACCGGCTTACATAAAAACACATCATGCTTTTGAAATCTCAGCTTTCTTCTTTCAACCCGAGTTTTCTCTTCAGAGAAGTGGTATTAATAGATGTGACAGATTCATTCGTTCGTTCATTCATTCATTCATTCATTCATTCAAGAAATATTTATAGAATACCTATTATATGTCAGGCATATGAGTGATTGGGATACACAGAGAACAATAATACAGACAAAAATTGTTGGTAATGAGAACTTTCCAAGCCCCATGAGGAGTTCGGTTTGTAGAGTCAAAACACTAATCTAAAGCAGGGGTGTGGTTTAGTTAGGACCCAATGCACTTAGAGCGAGTTGCCTGACATTTCTCAGTAGCTACCACGCTATAACTCACACACTCACTGGGCACAGTAAGATCTGGTTATTAACACGCACGATTCCTGACATAGACCACCCTTCAAAGACCAAGAGGTGCTTTTCAAGGATGAAAGCTTATACCTTCCTGCCCACCTTTGGCACATTCTCCAGGCCTTCTGACATCGTACTTACCCTATTCCAGACACTATCGAGCCCATATCCTTGTAAAAACTCAGCAAGTTTCTATGTGGTCTAGCTGGGATCAGGACCCAGGTTGGGTCAACGCCACAGTTAATGAACTTCCCTGTCTTGCCATGAGGGCTGGAGGAGACAGACAGGTGGGCTGTGGCGGAAGTCCAGCCTTAAGACAGTTCACCTCGGGCACCGCCTACGAGAGGAAGGGCTTTTTGTAGATGGTAGGAGAGAAAAATTTGTTTTGTTTTTGACGGACCGAGTTTGAGGTGTCCAGGTGAAGAGATCTACATTTGGATATTTTGTAAGTGGGGTGATAATTCTCATTTCCTTTGGAAAAGACACAGAAATCTCCTGTCTTTCTTTAAATAATATGAACCTTCAGAATACATTAAAGATAGTGACAAAAGTTCACAGGGGTGATTCTGTTAATTCTCTATTGTATGATAGTCACAAGACTACGAAATTGGTTGCTTTTCTGCTTCAGGTTAGTGTGGCTGGTAGAACGTAGCGTGGTTTCTCTCTGCCCCAAAGCCTGCCATGGCTTTATATCCTCGGCCACAAATCTGCAGCAAACACAGATGTTTGGAGACATGGATGAGCCCCTCCCTGGTTCCCTTGAAGTTACTGACATAAACAGTAGTGGCAGGTGTGGGCCTGAGATGACCCGAGGAGAATGACAAGAGCCAACAGGGAACGTTTCAAAACATCCCAGGATTGCTGTCGCTATAAACTCTGAACCCTTTGGCAAATGGAGCAGGGCTTCCTTTGAGCTGAGTTTCTCTCCCACCTCTTCTCTCATGGACTCACCCCTTTGCCCACTCAGCATTCTAGGTACACAATTCCTGGCACTTCCGGTCAACATGCCTTTGCTCATCCATAGGGCACTCTGTCTGGACATCTGGTTTACCTTGCTCCTTGGTGTCCCTCCCACCTCACCTCTTTCCTGAAACCCCCCTCAGCCGCCTCAGGGAACGTGTCTGGCCCTCTTTCCAATGGCTAGCATTTTCATTCTTGTCATTCCTTATGCAGTAGCCACCCTCTTAAAGGCAGGGGCCCATCTGGATTATGTGTGCAGTCCCAGTGACGAAGAGTGCAGACAAGGAGCAGAGCTAATTGGATGCTCAGCGACAGGTGCAATTAAAACCAGTCCACGAAGAGGTGTGTAAATGTTTGTGTAACCTCTTCTAATAATAAAGTCTCCCCTGCAGGTATAATTCTTAATGTCAGCAGCCTAAACTCAAGCCAACCCTTAGAGCAAGGTAGCATTCTTATGCTTCCCAACAAAGGAAATGAATATGTTGAATACAGAAATGCTACGAATTCTGTGTCCACTGGCCTTTGGCGACTATCTGAGAGCCATCCATGGAAAACCTTCAGGCGCAACGTAAGTCCTTGTGAAATTCAAGAGCAGGGTTCTGTGTTTTTTTGCACGAGCATCCCTACTTTCAGGGCTTAATTTGTAAGTTCAGCTTCGTTGTCTTGCTGCGCTTGAGTGCTTGCTCCCTCGAGGCAAAGCCACGTTACTCTGGCAAGCAGAGCATTTGCTATTTTAATAAATATATTCCAAATGATTTCATCACGGCTGCCCTTTTCCTTGGGTCTCCAGAGCCTCTTAGAAATGCACACAGAGAAACACAGATACCAAGAAACACGCTTGGGACCAGACCACAAAGCTCATCCTCGCACAACCTCCATTCTGCGGCCGACTTCCATTCCCCAGCCCACCGCCAAGTCTGCTCGGGGAACACAGCCATTTCGGTGGTTCGGGAGTATCAAGGAACCTCTGTTTTGGGAAACATCAAGAGTAGTTCAAAACAGACGTTAGATATTAACAGGCTCAAGACCAGACTTGCATCAAACAGGCAAAGACTATCCCACACCCGTTTCTTCCGGATCTCCAAAGGACTGCATGCCGATCACCACCAGAGGGTGGCGCTGGCCCAGCTCCGATTCAGTCTCACAGAAGCCTGTGCATTTCTGCTCATCTCTCTTGCTGCTTGTTCGGTCATCCCCGTTCTACGGACAGACCATTCTTCCTTTGTGTCACGCAGAGAGTAGCTCCCCCTCCTCCCCCACCCAGCACAGGACAGGCAGAACAGGTTCCTTCAGGAACTGATCACTGATGATTAGAGAGTCTTCACCCTTGAACACGAAACAGCCTGGCGGAGGCTGCAGAGCCCACAGGTGCACTACGGCCCTTCTCCCCCAGAGAAGGCAAATGCTCTGTAGACGTCAGACATGGATCTCAGTTCCTCCTGAACCCACAGGCTGTCCGGTGGGAGGCGCGGTCCGGGAGCTCAGGGCTGGAGCACACTTCCTGCCCCCTCCCTCCGTCTTCAGGTAGGGGAAAAGGGGACATGATAACACACATGCTTTGTAAGAGCAGGTCCAGGATAAGTCATTGACCGTAATTAGACGAATACAATACAATGGTCAGATGTTAGAACTGGGGGAGTAAAAACGCACTTTCCTCCCCCCAAAAGAATTGAAAACATCCTTGTTTTCTTCCCTTTCTACAGGTGGTTGGCCCTTCCCTTTGCCACATTCTTGGCAGAATTTCTCAAGGGGGCAAAGGAGAATCCAACTGGCACTCTCTTCCCTGTGCGGAGTCCTTCCCTGGGCGACTGGGACAACCGGGGCTCGAATGCCCGGGGCGAGTTCTGAACCCCACCTGTCCGGAGGCGAGGCCCTTGACACAGCCAAGGCCCCCAGTGACCACGTAGGGTGTCTACATGTGACAAGCAGAGAAGCTCTAAATTCTGGAATCACGTCATCAATTGAACGGACTACACTTTCGTCACGTAGAAAACTCTCTAGGGCCCAGGACAGCAAGTGGTCAGTTATGGTGGGATCAGCCTGAAGGTGTTTTCAATAGTCAACTCATATGAAATTCACATTTCAGGAACCAGCTGTTTAGGAAA